CAGATTGCATGTTGAATAGACAAGTAAATTTTCAATTACTATAGGGTTATACCAAGAATCAACCTTAAATCCTTATCTTTTTGCTTTAGTTATGGATGAGTTAACGAGAAATATTCAGGATGATGTGCTACGGTATATACTTTTTGTAGATGATATTGTGTTAACGGACGAGACTAGAGAATGAGTTAATACTAAGTTGAAGACTCAGAGAGAAGCATTTGAATCTAAAAGATTTAGGATAAGCAAAACTAGAACAAAGTGAATGAAGTGTAATTTAGTAACAGTAATAATGGAAACATAGGAGAAGTGAAGATTAAGAAACAAGAACTACTTAAGAGTGAATATTTTTGTTATTTATGATCGATTATCACAACGGCTGAGGAGATTGAAACAGATGTGGTCCATAGAATTAAGGCGGGGGTGGCTTAAATATAAGAATGTGTCTGAGGTACTGTGCAATAAACGAGCACTTATTAGACTAAAAAGAAACTTCTATAAAACGACTATTAAATCAGTTATATTGTATAGGTCGGAATGTTAGGCAACTAAAAAACAATATGTAGATAAGATAACTATTGCTGAGATGATAATATTAAGGTAGACGTATGGCAAGATTAGAAAAGATATAGTTAGGAATGAGTATATTTGAAAATAGGTAGGACTAGTATCGATAGAAGATAAGTTGAGAGATAATAGATTGATTTGGTCATATATAATGGAGACCAATAGATACAGTAGTAAAGAGATGCGATACAGTAATGATAGATGAAAGTGATAAATCTAAATTGATGTGGATTAGTGTAGTAAATAGAGATATAAACATACTTAACTTGACTAACAAAATGGTCTTGGATAGAGTCGAATCGAGAAAAATAATTTATATAGCTAATTTCATTTGAATGGACTTAAGACTTGACTTTATTTGGTAATTAAAAAATCATTATTTAATTTGTTAACAAAGTCAAATTTTAAAAAAATAATTTTTGTAATTTATCATATTCTTTGATATAAAAAGTCAAATAGAGAGAGTAGTCTTGGGGTTGTTAATACATTTGGAATTTTGGCAACTTCAAAATAGAATTGTCTTAGGTTAGGTGGTGTTTGGAAGGATGATTATTGACTAAGATAGTTAGTAAAAAAATTAAAATAATTAGATAAAATATCATATTTTATATATTAGTTAATTATTTTTTTCTTATAATTATTCATTTCATTATAAAAAAATCTATAAATAATTTCAAATACTTTTTTTTTTCATATGTTAAAATAATAAAAAAAAATCAATTAAAATAACCAAAACCTCTGCCATTAAAGCATGTATATATGTATATTGTATGTGAACAACCAACCCATTTACTGTTTTGAAAAATTAGTTAAAAATTAATTTTGTAATTATTTTTAACTTATTTTAAAAATATATATAAAAAAATGAAAAGTTTATATCACTTAGAATAAATTAAAAATCAAAATTTAAGTTTTGTTTGTCATAATCTAAAAAAATTAAAAAATCACTATCTTATTTAAATCATATCATCTTATTTAAATCACATTATTTTTTTATCACATTATTTTAAACTCAACTCATACCCAATCTATATTCTATAAAAAATCAAAAATATACTTATTTACATCATCCCAAACATCACCTTAATTTTTGGTCATCATCTCAAAACAGCTTGCGGGTTCTTCCCAAACTCCAATTCTGTTCTCTGTATATTTCTCTCTCCTGAATAGGTTCTTGTGATTCCCTCTCTTTCCTTCTCTTCTGCTCCCTCAAACTCAGGAGATAGCTCAGAACCCTTCTCTTCATGTTTACTTCTTTCTGCACCAATTTCAACAATTGAGGTCAGTTTCATCTTTGAGTTATCTGTTCCAAGTGTCTTGTGTTGTTCTTCATCTCTGCAAATCGACTTTTTTCTTTTTGTGTGTGTGTATCCTTTTCCTCTATTTTCCAGTAGTAGTTTCTTGATTGGCAAACAGAAAGAACCCATCTTCTTCACTCTCACTTTGTTTTTAGTTTTTGTTTGGTTTGAACTTCTATCTGTTTTCAATTTTTTTTGTTCTTTTCTTTTTCTTGGCGTTTGGTATATTAGGTGAGAAAATAAAAGAAACTCTCCATTTGTCATCATTTTTCACTTTTCTCACCTAATCAAACGTGTAACGCAGTTTTCTTTCTCATTATTTCTTACCAAATCTCTGAATCCAAACGGGCTGTTTGCATCAATTTAAGAATATGAATGTACTTAATTTTCATGAGATGTAGTGTAGCTCCTCGGTAAACTAGTCTTTTCTTGAAATTCTTGTAGATTAAAGTGATTTTCTTCTTTAAATTTTCAATTTTCATAAATTTAAAATTCACTTCTTGTAACCATTGTTCCCCTTCTGCAACTAATTACCCAAGCTGAGGAAAGACTTTTGGTGATTGTCAGTTCTTTTTTCCCTTCTTTTTCTTTAATTAAGAAGAAGAAGAAGAAGAAAAAAAAAAACGAATATTTGAACCTAATTGTCTTGTTTAAACACAATGTTGGGGCTCATTTAGACAAATTCAGTGAGTGGGTGCAACCATGGAACCTAGGGGTTGCTTCAATTGTATCAAGTCCTTGTGTTTTTTTGCCCTCCTTGTGTTTGAACTTTGTTCTGCTAGCACTCTATATGTTGGCAAGATTTACCCAGGCTTTGAAGGGTCTCAAATGAATTGGATCGATCGCGATGGGCTGTTTCTTCAATCCAAAAACTCGGTATTCGCTCTGAGATTCTACACTAGTTTGGATGTGAATTTGTTTCTCTTGGTTGTCATCCACATGAAAAGTTCTCAAATAGTTTGGACTGCCAATAGAGGGCTTTTGGTTAGAAACAATGATAAATTAGTGTTTGATAAAAATGGAAATGTTTACTTGAACAATGCAACAAGTGTAGTTTGGTCTACAGACACCACGGGGAAAGGTGTTGCAGCCATGGAAATGCAGGACACTGGGAATTTAGTATTGCTCGGGGACAATGGAAGTATTCTTTGGCAGAGTTTTAGCCATCCCACCGATACCCTTTTGTCTGGACAAGAATTTGTTGAAGGAATGAGGCTTAAAAGCTTTCCTTACCACAATAACTTGTATCATTATCTTGAATTCAAGGTGGGCGATCTGATATTGTATGCAGGATATCAAAATCCACAAATTTATTGGTCCATGTCAACTGATGATCGGAGACCACCAACAAAGTCAATGGGAAGGTCTCCTCGGCTTCCCTAGTTGCCAACTCATGGAATTTCTATGATCAAAACCGAACTTTAGTTTGGCAATTTAACTTCTCAGCAATCAATGGCCTGAATGCAACCTCGGCTGTTGTTTTAGACACAGATGGGTCCATGTCTTTCCACAATCTGCAGAGTGTAGGGTCGCCTGTAGCTGAGCCAATCAGAATTCCACAAAACTTATGTGGCACTCCCGAGCCTTGTTTCCCATATAATGTGTGTAGTTTTGACACCCGGTGCCAATGCCCATCGGCTCTCAACTCTAGTCCTAATTGCACACCGCAGCTTAACATCCTCTGTAATAGCTCAAAAAGTGTGATAAATCTTTTATATGTTGGTGAAAAGCTTAATTATTTTGCACTTGGGTTTGTTAAACCCTTTTTGAAAACTCACCTGAACGGTTGCAAAGAAGCCTGCCTTACACACTGCTCATGCGTTGTGCTATTCTTTGATAACACTACAGGGAATTGCTTTCTATTTGACCATATAGGAAGTTTTCAACGAGCTGACCTCGGTTCTACTGGTTTTATTTCATATGTCAAGGTCTCTAATGATGGAAATAATGGGAGGAAAGGGAAGAAGCGTCTTGTATTTTTAGTGATCATAGCAGTTCCTATAGTACTAGCTATTGTAGGTCTAATTTACCTACGATTCCAATCTGGTCAGACAAAGAACAAATTACTAGAACCCTCTCAAGAGATCTCAGAAGAGGATGATTTCTTGGATAGTGTTTCTGGGATGCCTGTACGCTTCAGTTACAATGATCTTTGTAGTGCGACAAAAGACTTTTCTGTGAAGCTTGGCCAAGGAGGATTTGGCTCGGTCTACCAAGGAATGCTTCCAGATGGGACCAAAATCGCCGTGAAAAAGTTGGAGGGCATTGGGCAGGGAAAGAAAGAATTCCGAGCTGAAGTTAGCATCATAGGAAGTGTCCATCATGTCCATCTGGTCAATCTTAAAGGCTTTTGTGCTGAAGGGAGTCACCGGCTTCTTGTTTATGAGTACATGGGAAATGGGTCTCTGGATAGATGGATCTTCAAGAACAAACGAGGGGGTCACATGTTGGAATGGGAGACAAGATTCAACATTGCTTTGGGTACGGCAAAAGGATTGGCTTATCTCCATGAAGAATGTGATGTGAAGATTGTCCATTGTGATATAAAGCCTGAAAATGTTCTCCTTGATGATAATTTCATGGCTAAAGTTTCAGATTTTGGTTTGGCAAAGCTAATGGCACGGGAAGAGAGCCGTGTATTCACAGTGGTAAGGGGAACTAGAGGGTACCTCGCACCGGAGTGGATAACAAACTATGCTATATCAGAAAAGAGCGATGTGTATAGTTTTGGCATGGTTCTTCTAGAGGTCATTGGGGGAAGAAAGAATTATGATCCGGGAGAGAGTTCAGAGACAGCCCATCTTCCGTCTTATGCTTTCAAGATGATGGAAGAAGGAAAGCTGAATGAAATCCTTGATCCGAACCTTGATATTGATAACACTGATGAAAGGGTTATCACTGCTATGAAAGTTGCTTTGTGGTGTATACAGGATGATATGCATTTGAGACACCCAATGGCTATTGTAGTCCAAATGCTTGAAGGTCTTTGCAATGTACCGGAGCCCCCAACCTCCGTAGTCAGTTCTCGCCTTTATTCAAGTTTCATGAAATCTAGTAATGAAGAGGGCACTTCCTCGGGGTTAACTAGAGTCGTGTTGCCGTCAGATGTTCAGTTATCAGGGCCAAGATGATTGAAGCGGTTGTTGAAGATGCACTTGAGGGGCATTACAGCTCCATGAATCACAACAGGTCCTGTATGTAGCTCTCTCTTTACACCTTGAGACATTAAATATACAAAATTCTTTGATGCCTCAACATACTTGTAATTTATTGTGCTCGAGTCTCAAGATCTGCATAGTTTCTGATAGAACAACAATTCTCAAGCTTTCTGTGATGCTTTATTAGATAATGATTAATTACATCGTGGGTTTTGGAAGTGCCAGACTGCCTTGCCTTGTATATTTGTCTGAATGATTAGTTTTAAAACATTAATACCGATTTAAGTATTTGAACACACATTATCTGAAACATTGTACACCTGATTTCAAAAGGGGTGAATCTAGCAATCCAAAGTGATCTCTTATTTTTTTTTTTCCTTTATATTTTCTTAAAAGATTCCAATGAGGGGGAAAAATTAAATATAAAATGAACTAAAATCTAGAGCGAGTAGAATTGTTGCATGACAATGTAAAAGAAAAGAGCCATTATGCTTTTATATTTGTGTGTTACATGATTGATTTGAAAAATACTAACTATATTTTATTAGATGTCTAATTATTAAAAGAAAATTACTCCCATATTTAGTGATACTTTAAATTCTAGTAATGTGATATGTACAACCCTACATTTATAGTATCACATTTTAGAGCATGTGTTGTATCATGTTTTCGTTCTTGTTCATTGTACTAGAACGATCCATGTCCTAGGTATCATAAATTTGGTCTTTCTTCCAATTGCTGAAGCCACATAACTCTAGTTCACATGTTCCATAACCAACCAAGAACTGAACCTGTTGCTAACCCCATTACCAAGAACAAAGACATTACTATTCCAACTGTTTCTGATTCCTCCACCGGTACCAATTTAGGAGCAAGGATCATGAGGACACTTGTCAGATACCCATTTGTGAACCTGAGCGTGGCAGTCAGAAACACCACAGGTGATTCACTTCTCAGACTTTTCGGTCCGTGCTCAAAAACTATGAAGAGTGGATACAACAACAGCCTAGCAAAGCAAGCCCATGTTGCAACTGTAATTTTCTTTGGTATATATATTGCAGTCAAAGATTTCCCCAAGAAATCCATAAGATTGTAAGTTGTTATCAGCAAAATAGGATACCAATCTCGGAAAAACTGTGACTTCACATCTTCAGTCAAGTATCCAGGGAAAATCGACAGAGATACTACATAAATCATAAAAATCCTGATTGCTGTCCACCGGATATTCCTGATGGCATCCCAAAATTTTGGCTGTTCATTTGGCTCAACTGCACTGCCCATTCTGCTTAATGATGTGCTGATGGCATTTTGGTGGCCTGGGAGAGGGAGTTTGAAAGACATAGTTCTCTGTTTCTGGTAATGTTGAATGACCAGTAATTTTTCAAAGATATTGCTGCAGATAATGCACATGAACACGATGAAGGTGCTGATGATAAAATAGATCTGGGTGCTCATCTGCAGACCCTTGGGTGAGTGGGGAAGTGAAGCCTTTGTTACAATCCTTAGTATGCATACTAGAATTCCTGCATACGAAGTCCAAACAATATCAATTGTTAGTGTTAGCTTAGCATGCACTGTTTGTTTTCATTAATAGCTCAAATTTTTAGGCTAACAGTTCAGAGCTCTAGTTATGGGAGATCCTGATTTCAAATCTTGTCCACCATATTATCTGTCATTTTGCACTTTGTTTTGCTTAAGCTTTTGGAAATCTCTGTTGCTTAACCAGATGCGATCAAATGGTCATGGTTTGGTTTACTTTCACCCAAATATATGAAAATAAGGATACGGCATAATAATCTTCTATAAACCTATTTCATCTATTTTTATGCTGTCTAGCCAAAATTATTTACAACCCCCCCCCCCCCCCCAAAAAAAAAAAAAAAAAGTTGTATTTTCTTCAATTAATGCTTTAGGCCATAGTTTGTTTAAGGGATTTTCTTCTTTTATATTTTTTTTATTATTATCTCTTTTTTTAAAATTTTGATTTTGACATTGGTGGTGGTGGTAGTAGAAGTGATGGTTGATTTTTTTTAGACTGGTCTATCTTGTTAGATTCATAAAAAAGAACAGTTTCCTCCAAACCAACTCATTTTCAGTTGATCACAAAACATGTTTTTCGTTAAATTTTTATTCTTCATTATATTAAATGTGAAAATGCGGAAAACATTTTCAGTCGAAACAAACATTGGATAGTTTCAAAGACATTGAAGCAAGGGAAAAAAAATTAAATTATACCTGAAGAAGCATTTCCTGCAATACATGCCTGCATATACCGTCCAGGAAGCTCCCCTGCAGCTCCAATTAAGCTTCCTGCCACCAACCCGTCTGCCAAACCACACACCAGCACCGCTGTCACGATCACCACGTAACCTATATTGTGCTTCACTTGTGTCTTGTGATTGGCTCAAGCGATCCAATCTGTCACCGGGGCTGTCATGAGAGTGATGACAAACAGTGCCTGCCCGATATTTATCCTGAGTTTGAAACCGGGCAGCTTACTCCAACTAGAAAAACACATCATACGAGCCAAAACTAGCAGTGATGAACCCATGTAGGCCACTGAGAACACCTTATCGATGTGCTTGTCTGGGTAGAGATATTCGAAGTAATCTACGGCTGTGACAAATGAGTTGCAGGGGATTAATTCCCCGCGCCGAGCAACAAGAAGATTGAATAGGCGATATTGTAGGTATCTCTTGGTTGTTGGTTTTGATCTTCTGATATTTGTGATTGTGTGGCTTCCATTTCATCAGATTTATATATGATGTTCTTATAAGGAAACTTGTTCCGATTTAAATGAGAAAATGGGATGAATTATGAGAAATGGTGATCTTTGTTGTTAAATTGTGTGATGAAAGTGAGTATGGAAATGGGGATTGAATGAAAGGAACAGAGTACAGGAGGACTCGTAGACGTGTGCCATGCAACTGTTGAAAGCTGTCGGCCCAAATTGGAAGTATTTGGCAAACATGCATCATGGGTTAATTCATAAATAAATAAATAAATAATAATCAATTTAAAAATTCAGAAGAATGATTAAAATTAGAATATACGGTGGTATAGATTTAAATGGTGTAATATGCGTTACATATATATATATATATATATATTTTACATAGTTTTGTTGTGGGTAATTATTACAAAGTTTTCAACACGACAAAAAATCAAAAATTATTTCCCATTCATTTTACTTTTTGTATATCTTTCCATAAAAAAATTAAAAAATCATTCCAGAATATATTAGGTTTTTTTCACCTTAAATTTTAGTTAAAAAATCAAAAAGTCATTTCTCAAACGATGCCTAAGTTTCTTTGTTTTAATGTATTTCTAATCATAAAATTATATGAAAATATTGAGATATGATTCTATCTATAAATACATTGAGACACAACTATAGGATTATGTGAAAAATTCAAAATACAAAATTCTTGAAACATCATTTTTGTTAGATATAGTTAGAATAGGTTTTGAGTTAAAGCCACCAATTGCATTTGAACGGGTCATTCTATTTACACACCACCATCCCTCTCAAGGAAAACCATTAATTATTTTATTTTTTATTACAATTTTAACATGAAGTGAAATGAATATAGAGGACAAATTATGATACACACCATTTGTGTACTTACATCTGTTCAACAAACTACAATCGAATTGTTCGACAAACTACAATTGAAAAACTTAAATTTGTTCAACTGTCTAAAACCGAACAACTTGCACTTGTTTGGATTACTAAGGTCTAACTTATCATCACTTGGTGGGTTGATTACCTTCTTCCTTTAGAATTTTATTGATTGTAGAAACATCCAACCTTGCTGATGCTTGCTTCACCCAGTTGACCACCCTCTCCGCTTCCTGCACGACTTTCTCTTCTTCTGCCATCGCCACCTTCAATCTCCGCTCTTGTTCTTTCACTGAAAACGTGCTCATATCTGACAACATCTCTTCATTCTTTCCCCACTCAGCACTGTTGCTGCCTTTGATATCAAGCCCAGAAACATCATCGTCACCCTTTCTCTTCTTTTTGTTGGAAAAGCAAAAGCAAAAAAAGCTTGATCTTTCACTCATTTGATTTGAGCTCTTGCAATATTGAAGAACAAACCTCAAATTGATCCAACTGTTTCGCACCAAAGGGTTTGAGAGGAGATGGGTTGATTCCTAGTCTATGGGGGTGTGTGAGTGAGTGAGGGTAAATATGAGAGTTTGTGCGTATATTGTTGTGGATGAATGTGTGAGTAAGGATAAATATGTAAATTTGTGATGTGTGATGAGCAAAATATATATTCACCAAATTATTAAAGGTGTGCTTTTAGAAATGGTTTGCCTTGAGATAAATTATGGTGTGTAAATAGAGGCACCCCATTTGAACATATTATTTGTATTTTTGCTTCTCTTTACATGTCTAATTTTTTAGGGTTAATTACAATCAGACCACATCAACTGTTAGCGAATATTATTTTATAAATTCGTATATATTGACCCTTCAATTATAAAAATTATAAAAATATACCCCTTTCGAAAGTGGTCTATAAAGATGAAAACATACCTTTATAATTGAAGGGGTTAAAATGCATGAGGGATAAAATTCACTAATGGTGAGTATAAATAACCCAATTCCTTGCTTCCTCGCTTGCTCATTGTGGTCGTACTATTGGTGGCACCACTTGAAAGTTTACAAATATTTGGGTAAGTATTAATGCAGAATCTATAAATCAAAAAAAATAAATAAAGAGATGGAAATAAGTTGGATCGAGGTAATAAAGAGAATGAAGTAGATACATAAAATCAAAAAAATATTAATATATAAAGAGATAGAGATAAGTTGAAGATAACAATGAAGAGAGTGAAAAAGGTAAACAAAATCAAAAAAATAAAAAGGAAATTAGAGATATGGGAAGAAGATGTCAAGTTTGAAGACAATATCTTGTGTTAAAAGAGGATGCCAAACAATAACAAGCCCAAGGATTCAAAGTCCCCTAATTAGCCACATACAAGAGTTGAGACAATATACCTCACACAAGAAGATACAAATCCAGATTTTTTATTGTGAAATTTACTCAAAAAAATAAGTGTGGTGTAGATTAAAACTTGATATGTTGTAAGAGCATCTCCAACGGTTAACCTAATATTTCACCAAATTTGAGTTAAAAAATTACCATTTCCTGAATTTGATACTTCACACTCCAACGCTTCAGCTTCATCAAATATCAGTCAGGACAACCGGATGGTCGACCTGATGGTCGACCGGACCGGTCGACCGAGTAGAGAAAATTTTTTTTTTTTTAAAAAACCTTTCTGAACCAACAACCAAAAGCTCTGTTGATGCAACGGTAAATTTATTAAAACGGCTACTTTTTAAAAGATGTATATGAGCGGCAAATTATCAAAAGACTCTGTCCATTCAACGGTAAATTTACTGAAACAACTAATTTTAAAATATTTATATAAAAGATAACAATTTGAATTATATTTTCAATGAAATTAAAATTTATATCATTTATTCAAATTATTTCAAATTATTCCAAGTCCACAATTCTACCTGTTAAAACCAAACCTGTGAAACCAAACCTGTTCAAACCAAACCTGTAGGATGCGTAGACCGGGCGACCGGATGGTCAACCAGCCGGTCAACCGGCCGGTTGACCGGTTCCCCAGGCCACGGACCAGTTCAAACCCAGTTCAGCCAGTTCAAACCACTCACAGTCCAAACCCGTCGCCTAATCTCATGAACCGGTTGACCGGTTGGTCAACCGGCCGGGCAACCGGCCGGGCAACCGATGTATCTCCTTCAACGGTCAGTAACAGTGATTTGGTAAAATGCAGAACTTGTTTTCAGTTTGATACTTTTTTTGGTGATTTCTCATTTTGATATTCATCTGATGCAACGATTGGAGCATGGAAAAGTACGTTTTTCATCAAAATTTAAATCTGATATCAATTTTGGTTAAGCGTTGGAGATGGTCTAAGTCACTACCATATTGATCTGGTCCATATAATCCCATTTGTGAGTATTTTTCGAGCATTTTTCCGAGATTGTAACATTGTTCTACCTCATATCCGTGGACTACATGAGCAAGTATAGCATGGGTACATACCTTGAATTAAGAGGATACAGAGCAATTTGCATCGCTACGTGCAAAACAGATTGTTGGTCATTTTCTAACAACACAAAGGTCATTGTTGATTTAATAATCTCATGCCAAATTTATTTGTAGATCATACAATTTTTTTTTTTTATCTCTTAAAATTTTATTTATGCTACATTTATTTCAAAAGAAAATAAAAAACAGAACAAATTACGACAATAGTCCTTCTTCTTTGATTATTGTGTCATTTGGTCCTTATAATTTCAATTAGCTCGATTTTGATCATGAATTTATGATGATAATAACTATAATAGCATGTTTTTTATAAATAAAAAATAATATGTATATAAGTGACATATGTCATGTTTTTAAGGATAAAATTATGAACTTATATAACCTAGTGAGTTAACTTCAATCAATACAGCGATCATTTTTCATCGAAAATACTAACGACATTAACAATTGAATCAAATTGACAAACAGAGCCAAAATGTAAAGACTACCAATGTAATTTATCCTGAAAAATATTTTCTACTATATCCTAAAAATTGTTTTCCTATGCATCATAAAATTAATGTACTGGTAATTGTATTAGTGGTGGAGGTGGTATTGGTGATGGTGATGGTGGCAGCTGTAGTGGAGTTCGGATCCTCTCCTTGAGGAGGGTCCTTGAGTTGCTGCGGGCAACGGCTCAGATGACCCGTTGGTCATCCAACGGCTCATATTAAACTAGAGTCTATAGTTTACTTGTACAACAATACAGTCTAACTATACTTATTTATTATTAAATTGTCGACCACCAACTCATTTAAAAGCTTAAGTTGTAAGAGAAAAAATCAACTTTATTATTTATAGTATATTATCAATATTTAAAAACTTAAGTCTGTAAGTGAAAAGTTTATCTATTATATATTAAAATTTATTTATTTTTTACATTTTATCCAATACAAAACTTTACCTTCACACATATTTCAATAATTTCACGTTGGTATGTGAACCGAACATCGGACATAGCCTAACTCCGTCTATGGTAGCCATTATTCCATTACATCATACAATTTTTTGTTGTGAGAAAAATATTGAAGAGCTGTCAAACAATTCCCACAATATTGCACTGCTACTCACAGCTCATTATATTCCCTCACTAACTATTTGCCCATGTGCAAGGCACATATAGAGCCCCCCACTTGTTTACACAGAGTCCACACCCTCAAGTGCCAATGTTGGCTTGTCTTATTACATCTTGTTTCTTCTTGTTGCTTGATGTTATTCTCTTGTTTATCTCCTTTTTCTCTTAAGCAATCATTAGGTGCAATAAAAAAATTCTAGAGTAAAATCTTGATCTAAAGATTGATAATGTTACATCAAATTAGTTAGACTCAACCATAGTTACTTGAAACTCTTGTTAAAAGGAAGCCCATTTCATATATACATTGTTTCCCAAGCTGATGATGTAAACTCCCTAAGAATCAAATTAGGGAAAACCTATTCTGTTTGAAGTGAATCTTTTCTCATAGACTTCCCTGTAAGATTGTTGGTCATATTATTATTATTTGTGTTTGTACCATCTCTAAGTTCTGTTTGATTGTATTTTTGTTTTCCTTTTTTTGTTGATTTTTCAAAACAAAACAATGAAAAGTTCAGAAACACCCACTTGTGAAAATTGTTTTTATACATATGAAAACAAGTTTTTGGTGGGTGATTTTCAGAAAATTTCAAGAAAAAAAACAGTTTCCAGAAACAAATTTCCAAACAAAATTATGTTCTTTTTAAAATATGAAAACAGAACACAAAGCAACATGCCTTTTTTTTTTTAAAAGTTACATTTCCCATTTCCAATCTCCCAAATGGGTCAGTGAATTGAACTTGAAAGGCATCATTGTAAAGCTTTTCCTGAGAAAAAGAAAAAAATAAAAATAAAATTCAACTCAACTTGAGAAAATCTTATATCTTGATTTTCATATTAGATTTATTTGCATCGTTGATCGACCCGCTTTTGATGGTGTAGTAGTCACGAAAGGGAATTCCTTTAGTTGTTCTTTCTGTAATGATAACTATGAAAGATACCAACAGTGAGACCCCTATTCAAGACAAAGAGACTTCCAGTGTTAATTATAGACAGAACAGTACCAAATTCTCAGCATATGAGAAAGACTTACATTTTATCATTTTTTTACTAATTGTATTCGTATTGATGTTAATATTACTATTAATAGTAACAGTAGATGAAAAGCCTACTCTTATTGAAAAGACTTAAAATAATAATAAGAAATGAAAGATATTATGTTATTAAATAAACTAAAGAATTCTTATATGTTATTCAATTGTATGAATTCTGGAATCCATTTCGTTATTTCCCCATCCCAACGTTGTAGTCCATTAGAAAGGTTAAGTCAGACTAGGAGTGTCAACATGCCAGTGATGAGGGACGAGCCGGTTGATCCAACTAAGTTAATACTACCCCAGCATAGGGTATCTGGTTCGTTCCTAGTGCTAGATAAAGAAAGTTCATTAGGATATAAGGTTGTGTCCAAAAAGGGTAAAGAAGTTATGCAGAATTCAAACTTAGGGAAGCAATTAGTTGTTGGAGCTAGTAGCCAATCGAAAATTCTTAATATAGATAAGGAAAATGCTCCTAAGATCGAAAAGGATGGAGGTTTACAGGACGCAACAAAGGAGAGCATTCGAATTAATTCATTTAAACCGAAAGAAGAGGAAAGATTTTATGATACAGTTGAAGAGGATGTTTCGAAAGACTTTTTTGACACCACTGAAGAGGATGTTTCGAATCAAGAGGTCGATGGTTTAAAGGATGTCATGAGGGATAGTAATCTATTTTTAGACTATAAACCGAAACTGAAAGCTAAAGATAAGGAGATCTTTTTAGATAGCGCTGATACTTTTAGTTTCAATTGTGTTGCTGGTTTGACGGCTTCGACCTTGAAATGTAAAATGCTTATTATATTAGCTATAGGATTCACTATTTGGTGGACAGAATTGCCAGAGTTTTTAATCTATTTTGATCCCAAAGATGTATGCCTAGATGTAAAATGGATCAAGCTAATGAAGACAACAATCAAAATTATGACCGTAATCAAACACGGTGTGTCTGTGCCAGTGCCTGATGCTAATGGTAAAATAGATATAGATTGGAGGTCATTACCAATGAGTGAGCTGTTCAACCAAAAAGCAAGGGTATTGGTAGTGAAATTGAAGAATTCGATTCCCTGAGTATCAACACGGCACATAAAAGAAAGGCCACTCTTTCGATACTCTTTGTTGCCTATTTAACGCTTGCCATGTGTAGTAGCTCCTTTACCTAGTAAACTACTAAAACGTAAGCCGCAACAAGCAGGAAATCTGTGGCTGGATTGAATCCTTCGCGATGGAAATGCCCTCTTCCCCCAACCAACTAAGGGCAAGCACCTACTCCTAACAAAATGAAAAGCAGCGAGCTCCGCAACAAAAGCGAAACGAGCCGCGCTAGTAGCGCGCATCCGTTTTTCAGCTGGCTTCAAATCAAAGCTTGACTAATAGGGGCGCCCCTAACCTAGGTTGGGAAAATCCCTATATATGTATGTTATCAGTACTAAAGGCCCTGCAATCTTTCTAAAGCGCTAACGCACCCCTTATTAAAAGTCATGCCTTTTCCTCTTTACTTTCTATATTTTCATATGCAATGATGGCCTACTGGCTCTTCCTTCTTTTTCTGTGCTCTTGAGCCTGGTCAAACTGACTGGTTGAAAGATAAGAGCCCTACTTTCTTGATCCATCTATGGGGGGTTGTTGGTGGACGATTTCTATCCGGTAGTTTTGGGATCCTCCCACATGTTCAATCTTGAGCTTCTCTTTTCCTTTGTCCTTGGAGTACAACTATGTTACAGCTGCAGGGATAGAAAAGGTAAGCTAACCCCGCTAGGTCAAGCGCTTTCAGTCAGTCCTTGGTCAAGCGCTTTCTTCGCTCTCATCCCTTGCCTCAGGTCATGCTTTTATTTTTCGGGCATTCCTTACTTCAATCTTCTTTTAGCCTGAATATGGGTGCACTGAAAGCAAACATCTTCATATCATGGCAGAAAGCGTCTGGTCTACTCTGCTTTTTCCACCTCACGCCCTCCCATCTCATGTCTTTTCTGAACTAGATATGCCCGTGGGGGGACTACAGACTCCCTCAATAATAGGTAGGCAGGGTAGGAAAGCAAGGGTACGAAAAGAGGATTTGGCTCAAGAGAGGCAAGCGAAAACTTGGATTCGACAGCTCGAGAAAGCGAGAGAGGGTTTCATCATTCGTTCCTTTCACCGGACAATGATCCGGCAAAGGGATGAGAAGGCACTATGGACGGATTTGCTTTAGACATACCCGATTACCTGCTACCGAAAACCGAAGCACCTATGCTTGCTGCCTTAACTCCACCGTAGGAAATAACCTTACTTACAGAAGTACTAGAGTTATACAGGGAATGTTACCGGTACTTGAATACTGAAATCGTGTTTAACTACTGAAAGACTCCAATTTTGAAACTCATACTTCAATCGTACTGCAACAGGAAAGATTCCAGATGAGCGTCATAAAGACTATACAGGAGAAATGTCAAATTAACGAAATTGATTCGAGGCTGACTCCCGCCTCGCCTTCCACAATACATTCTGAAGAGGTGGACCAAACAAGCAAGAGCCGAAACTGCGCAGCACATTAAGGAAAATGACATTGAAGTAGATGCGAAATTCCAACAAGCTTCGCGGTATAAGACATTGATGACTGCATTTAGAGCAGTAGCAAGTAGAGCTGCTGAAACTGAAGAAACATATGATTTTTGTATTGCACAGCTTGCTACATTAGGTGCAGATGTTGAAGGCAAGTTAAGTGCTCATTTTGGTGTTGGAAATGAAGCACGTAATGATGATGATACCCAAAGCTTTGAAGTGGAATGTGAAGATGTGAATCATGTTCTGCAACCAAAAGGATTGAAGAAAAAGGTGGCAACTAGTAAGGGCAAAAGGAGGGTCAAAGGTGGATTCGAAGCGGCGTTGGTAGCGAACTCCAAAAAAAAATCCCGTGCTAATAGCTTGGCTTCGTCACAATCTATTGCAAGTTCAACGGTTGCACCTTCTCCATTATCTGTTGGAGGAGATATATATGTTCGTGAACATGTTCCTCTGCTTCAACCTCTTCCTCCCCTTCATCCTCTTCCTCGATCTTTGCCCATGGGTGGTAATTACATTCCTCCGCCATTGATGTATCCCACATATCATGTAAGTCTTACTTTAACATTGTATTTTTTGTGTGGATATAATATGTGACTAAAACCATAACTGAAAGCATATATGACATTCTTGTAGGCGAACAATTTGCGGGAGATGTATGTGGTGCCAAATTATTTGCCAACTCAACCAACATTCTAGTCACTACTACAAGGTTCATGTGGATATGACATTGGGTTTCGATATTCTCAAGAATCAACTACTCCAATGTGTACTGAGGTTCGTCCTTGATGTATTTTTAGTTTATAGTGGCTGAAAATTCTATGATATCATGTATTTATAGTTGCTTAAAAATTGTCTTTCTTTTTTAGGCTATGGACAACCATCAACAGAACCAAACTGATGCTGAAATTGGGCTACAACGTGAAGACATGGCCTCTTAAATTGTGAAGCAAACTGTTGCTACAAAGTGATGTTAAAGTACCAATGTGTCAATTTTTAAGGACCAATGTATTAATTTAGATGTTAAAGTTGTACTGGTTGATGTTCAGTTACAGTTGATTTTAATTTAAATGTTAAACCCAAGTGAACTGATTATGTTATTGTTAATATCCTTTTTTAAAATATGTGTTGGTTGGTTGATGTTCATGTTCATGTTCATATTGAACATGTTATTGAACTGGTTCTGTGTTCATGTTCTGTGTTGAACATGTTATTGAACTGGTTCTATGTTCATGTTCATTTAAAACCGTTACTGCTGGCACAATCTGTAGCAATCAGACAGAAAAATATGAAGTTGTTACAAATCAGGTAGCTTACTGGCATGCTGTATTTTGAAGGACCTGTTTCAGTCAGTAGGGTTGATATGCTAACTAAGAGAAAAATGCAGGTAGCTTACACTCATGCTGTATTTTGAAGGACCTGTTTCAGTCATGCCTGATAAACTCCACATTCCTCCATGATTCAAATAATTGCTGGCAGATCCGATGCTTTCCTGTCAAAATTTCTCCAGGAATAAGGATCTCTGAGGGACACTCAATCAGTCACAATAGGATTTGGATAAATTTGTTGAAATTGAGGACTAAGTTAAAATAAAAAACTATTATTGTGGTGTAACAGAACATGCATATCTCTGGTTCATGTTACTGGTTCATGTTATTGAACATGTTCATTATGATAACCCATCAAAGCCTATATATTTGTTCATTTCTCCCATGATGTTGAAACTGGATCTGCAATGGATTTGAAATTGTGATGTTGCTGAGCATGGATATGCATGTTCTAAAATTGGTTATGATGTTCTGAAACTGGTATGCTTCAGATCTGCATTTAATTTGACAGTAGCATCCTTTTCATGATCACAGTCCATAAAAGCATCCTTTAGATTGAGGTTTGGTTTTTGTAGCAACATGCTCAGCAACATTGCAGTCCAATGCTTCAAGGAGGAGAAGGGTATCCTGATCTGTCCACATAAATCATAATCTGCTTGTGCAACAAGAACAGAATCTGCCGGTGCAACATAACATTCCATCATTCATTCCAAAATTCCATCAGAATCAGCCTGTGCAACATAACATTCCATAACATTCCATCATTCATCATCACAGAATCTGCTGGTTATCATGTATTATAGTTACATAACATAACATTTCATCATTCATTCCAACATTCCAAAATTCCATCATTCATTCCATAACAAATAAGAAGTTTAATGTTCCCCAAAATTCATTCCATAACAGATAATAGATAACAAGTCGGAGTACATAAAATCCAAAAAGATACAAACTTCCATTAAGTTCCCCAAAAATACAATAAAGTCGAAAAGTTACATCATAAAGTACAAAATGATACAAAATACAATGAAGTACACCATCCTTTTCATATTATTTTCCATCCTTTGCAGCCTTCGACCATAGTCATTTTCCATGTCATGAAGCCTCATCCTTACATCGTTCAAGTCTTCTATTGTTATACCAGCAGGAACTGTACTGTTGGAACGGATTTTGGACGTAACGTCTTTATCATCTTCAGACACGAACTTGAAGTAATTGCAATGATGAGTGGGAGGGTTACTCTGCAATGCATGCGAATACATTAGTTCAATAAGACAAATATTAATGTGTCTAATAAAGGAAGAAAATAGCTAGAATTACCAACTTACATATTTCGATGGGCAAACAAAGTACAAACGCCCTTCATTTCCATTCTCGTTGGTTCTTACAATATATATAGCAGTTGTTCTTCCACAATTGCACAGCCTCGGTACCAATCTCATGTCGCTAATGTTAGAAGAAGAAGCCATTTTTTAAATCTGCATACATGAGGAGAAGGCTAATGAGAGTTGGTGCTAATGGAAGTTGGTGCTAATGGAAGTTGGTTCTAATAATATGTCCCATAGGAATAACTTGAAGACATTGTTACAGATGCAAACTAGTTCTGATGTTAACAAATGCAAACATGGTTATTAACAGATGCAATTGTCTAGAAGACAACTTTGTTAATATTTGCTTCCTTTTATTTTATGCTAGAAGACAACTTTGTTAATATTTGCTTCCTTTTATTTTATGCTAGAAGACAACTTTGTTAATATTTGCTTCCTTTTATTTTATGCTAGAAGACAACTTTGTTAATATTTGCTTCCTTTTATTTTATGCTAGAAGACAACTTTGTTAATATTTGCTTCCTTTTATTTTATGCTAGAAGACAACTTTGTTAATATTTGCTTCCTTTTATTTTATGCTAGAAGACAACTTTGTTAATATTTGCTTCCTTTTATTTTATGCTAGAAGACAACTTTGTTAATATTTGCTTCCTTTTATTTTATGCTAGAAGACAACTTTGTTAATATTTGCTTCCTTTTATTTTATGCTAGAAGACAACTTTGTTAATACCCCTGCTTTCTGCCTACTTTGTAGGTATGCATTTGTAAAAATGTATGGGTCAGAAAATTCTCTAGATCACAAAAGAAACAGCAAATCGCATTAGTCCTACACAGTAATTGCAAGGAAAGACCTTTAAATTCAAACTCAGAACAACTAAATTTTCAACAACAACAAAGAATCAGATTCATATTTCAGCACTGTGGGTTGGTTACATTCATATTACATAACATCAGAACTGTGGGTTCATCTTTACCCTCATCATCTCCAAAAAATATTACCAAATCATCCTCAAATTGAAAAAAAATTCAGACGTTAAAAGCCCTAAATGTTTAGCCGTTCGAATAGAAATTCGAATCCCTAATTCCTAATTCTGAAATCCCTACTTCTGAAATTCCTAATTTTTCTAAAAGCCCTAATCCCTAATTTTTCAAAAACCAAAATTCCTAATTTTTCAAAACCCAAATCCCTAATTTTTTTAAAAAGCCCTAATTTTGAAATTATAAAATCCCTAATTCTGAAAATATGGAACGAGCAGATGAGGGATTCCCTTTCACTCTAACTTGTCCATATCAATTCCAAACCCAAATCTCAATCTCAATCTCAGATGTCGGAAGACAAAAGATCTTTGTTCGAAGACCAACCTGGTTCGTGAAGAAGAGATCTTTGCTCAACCGATGGTGAGTTCACGAAGCGTAGAGCTGGAGCGGTGGAGTTTGCCGTCGGTGAGGATGGAGCTCGCCGTCGGTGAGGATGGGTTCGCCGGTGAGGATGAGGGATGGGTTCGACAGAGGCGACTGCTGCGTGAGAGTGAGAGTGAGAGTGGTGTGTGAGATTGAAAGTGAATGCTGTGTTGTTGTTTGTTTGGGCGGGAAGCATAAAACACACTGTAATTTGATTTATTTATTTATTTATTTATTTTTTAATATGAGCCGTTGGATGACCAACGGGTCATCTGAGCCGTTGCCCGCAGCAACTCAAGGACCCTCCTCAAGGAGAGGATCCGAACTCGCTGTAGTGATGGTGATGTGGTGACATTATCAAGATTTTAGTCTGAAAAATATTTTTCACATTTCAAATGTGAAAAACATTTTGTCCCAATAAGATTTTTTTTTATTTTATAAATTATACAAAATATTTTTCATCAAATTTTATTTTCTGTCGTAACGAAAAACATAAAAAAAATATTTTTCACCATATCACGTGGTGCACTAGAGAAATTCCAGTTGGATAATCCTCCCTCAGATCTTCAATTTTCACTCGGATTTGCATCTCATATATTTGGGGATTGTTTAAGCAAAATAAATAAGAACTTATAATCTTTTTTTTTTTTGGGAAAGTAAATAAGAACTGATAATTATTATAGCTTTGGATTCAAACTTTTTATCTATAACAATCTATAAAAGCAGCAAAACTTGCCTCTAACATCAGTGTGTCTAGCGTAGGTGAGATACCAAATTCACTTGCCTCAGAAGATATGCAGTGTTTGGGGCTTCTTCAGCAAGCTCGGCGGAAGATGATGCTTCTCAAACAAGCTGGGCTTCACCTCTTGCCAACTGTCCTGCTACAGCTTTCTCCCGAGTCTTCCTCCACAAGTTCTTCTATATTAAGAGTTGTAATTGTTGCCTTGATTCAAGTTGTTGTCAATCTGGTTCAAGAAACAGACTACCATGCCATTCCTCAACTTCCATATTCCATTAGTTGTGCAATCCAATTCTTAATTCCATTATCATATGATTGCTTGATTGACAACATGCTGACAACTAGTTTTTGTCTGCAACCTGTACGAAATTAATTTGCCCTGTTAGACTTTTCACTAGTTATTATGCTCTTTTTTTAACACAACTATCTATCTTTGATTTATGAATTTTTTTTGTAGTTGAATAGATAGTTGTGAGAGAAAAAGTGATTGACTGATATGTAAGATGTAACATTTTATCTTATTGATTATTATTATTATTATTATTATTATTATTATTATTATTATTATTTTTTAATCTTTATTGACTATTTTAGTTTAAAAAAAAAGTTGTTTCCAAATAGGGTCATTCACCTTGTTATGTACAACAGACCACTTGTTGGGAGAAAACAAAACAAAAACCAATTCGAAATATCCGAATCCGGCACAAAAATAGCGAAAGTGTTTATTCTCCCTCTTTGTGTGAACCTATTAGGAAGCAATTTAATAGAGCACAATATATTCTGAAAATAATCTGAAAGCGATGATCCGACAATCACACAACAAGGCGACAGCAAATTTTTAACGTGGAAAACCTTCCCGATGTGGAAAGGAAAAACCATGGGACCGTAGTCCATCAAATATCTCTACTATAAACAAATAATGGGTATACAAGAGTTCTCTCTAGATTGAACTAGAGGCAAACAATCAAGAACAACTTAC